TTTTTTTTTTAAAGATGGAGTCTTGTTCTGTCACACCAGTGTGCAGTGGTGTGATCTCGGCCCACCGCAACCTCTACCTCTCAGTTTTAAGCAGTTCTCCTGCCTCAGCTTCACAAGGAGCTGGGATCACAGGCGTGCACAACCACACCCCACTAATTTTTTGTTCCTTTGTTTGTTTTGTATTTTCAGTAGAGACAGGGTTTCACCATGTTGGCCAGGATGTTCTTGAACTCCTGACCTCAGGTAATCCACCTGCCTTGGCCTCTCGGAGTGCTGGGATTACAGGCGTGAGCCACCACGACTGGCCTGCTATGTGAGTTCTAATTATTGTCTTAGTCTTGTCTGTGGGTTCTTTAGGAACACTACTCCTTCTTCCTTTATTGTCTAGAACACTACCCATAAAAAGTCACAGACTTTGGCAGAAGACAAAGGAAGATTATGCCATAGCAGAGAACAAGCAAGGATTTAAAATGAGTGTTAGACATTATTACAGAGAACAGGGAACAACTTTAAAATTAGGGACAGTGTATTCTAAATTTCCACTGTCATCAGCTCTGCTTGGTGGTGTTCTCCCTGGGGTTTGCTTATTCTACTGAAGTAGGCAACTTAATGCAGTCATTGAGAATGCGGGTTCTGGAGTCTACACTGCTTGGGTTCAAATTGTGGCTGTATGACTTACTATCTCTGTCTTTAGGAATGTTCTTTAAGTTCTTTGTGATTCTGTTTTGTCCTCTCTAAGTGGATGTAACAGTACCTATCTCGTTGCATTACTGTGAGAATTGAGACAATGCTTAGAAACAGCTTCAAATAGTGCTCAGTAAATACTTGCACTTATTACCAGATGACACTGTGCCTCCAGGTCTTGTTCTTCTTCTGAGAGCCCTAGGGTCCCGAGAACTCCTATCTTCTTTACCTGCCAAGGTTAATTTAGCTAAACTTTTCCCATGTAGGCCAGACCTATTAAGATGCTTTTCTGGATAAGATGACTTTTAATCCCGAGATTAAATTTGAATTGATTTTATTTTTTCATTTAAGAAAACTTGATACCATATGAGTCATTCCCATAAAAAAGAAAGGTGTACATTGCTTTGTTTTTCATTAAGGTTACCCTTTGGTCTGTGATAGCCAGAGGAAAGAGACTCCTCCCTCATTTCCAGAGAGTGATAAAGAAGCCTCACGGCTGGAGCAAGAGTACGTCCATCAAGTTTATGAAGAGATTGCTGGGCACTTCAGCAGCACGAGACATACCCCTTGGCCACACATTGTGGAGTTTTTGAAGGCTTTGCCAAATGGCTCTATAGTCGCTGATATTGGATGTGGTAATGGAAAGTATCTCGGCATCAATAAGGAGTTATATATGGCAAGTAATGTTGCTTTTGGCTTTCTTTTTGCTTAATTTGCTGTGGTTATCATCATCTTTCTTCCTCATGATAAAATGCTATTTTTTTAGTTCATTGCCAAAATGTTATAACCAACAGATTCAAAATTAATGAACACTGCCCCATTCTTTCTTATTCCTCTAGGAATTTATGGGCACACCATCATTATATAATTTTTTTCTCCCTTTAAATTTTGCTTTCTACCAGTATTATTTTATTAGTAAAACTATCTTATAGTTATAAAACTCTTTATAGATTAGAAAGAATTTTTATAGAAATCTTTATTGTGGCTTGGATCTCCCTAAGTAAGAAGAAGAGAAAGCTGATATTTTCATCTATCTTTTGTAGAATGAAGAAATTGGGGCTCACAGTGGTCATATTAATTTCCTGATGTCATATAATTAGGGGCAATAACTGGAACTTGAACTTATGTTTTCTACTCTAAATTTTACTCACAGCAGAAAAAAATTTTCTATTTATTGATATCTTACTGTTGAGAAAACTAAGGCTCAAATAGATTAAAATCTTGACAAAGGTTACCATGCTAGACCCAGAATTTGAGCCTATTTCTGTCTGATTCCAGAGTGTCTGTTTTCAGTTGCTATTATTTTTTTTCTATGAGCCTTTTTTTTCTGCTGTGCTAAGAGGTAGAACGTTCTTGTATTAGTGTGTTGTTGTAAGTAATCATATTTTAACGTTGCTCTGTGAGGACTGGAGCTTCCCCTTCTCAAGATTAGGAGATTTAGGATGAGAATAAGGGAGTAGGTAAAAAGAACGAGAGCAGTTGACGTTCCTGGGTTATTGGAGTATGTCAGATTGCTTCTCTTCTTTGTTTTTACTCCATCCTAGAAATTGTGCACCTTCTTGAAGAAAGTTACTACAATTGTCTCTTGGTATATACAATTGAAGCCAAATTAAAATAATAAAATGCATATTTAATGATCATAAATGATTTAGTGTAAAAGGGAAAAGTGATTTACCATTCTTCTAAGAGATTACATTTTTATCACCCCCACATGAGCAACAGTGGCTGTTCTGTACAGGGCCATACATCTCAAATGCCTCTCTAGTTACAGTCACCTAGGATTCTACCAAGGAAGTACAAAAAATGCATTGAAAAAAGTACATTAGTCCCTTGGTATCTGTGGGGAATTAGTTCCAGGACCCTGTGGATACCAAAATCTGCAGAAGCTCAAGTCTCTGATACAAAATTATATAGTATTTGCATATAAGCCGTGCACATCCACCTGTATATTTAAAATTAACTATAGGTTATTTATGATACATAATACAATGTATATGCTATGTAAGTAGTTGTTAGACTGTATTGCTTAGAGACTAATGACAAGAAAACAGTCTATATGTATTCAGTAAAGATGGTTTTTTGCTTTTTTTTTTTTAATATTTTGACCTGTGGTTGCTTGAATCCACGGATGTGGAACTCATAGATACAGAGGGCTGGTTGTATTACAGCTTAGGAAGTGTAGAGTTTGTACATTAACAGGCATATAAAATAATAGCTTTCATCAAGATAAGACATTGATATTCATTTATTGTTACCATGTTTATAATTAAATTTTAATTTATAAAGAACAAGGCCTAGTGAGTTAAGTTTGTTCATGTTGAAGAGGAAATAGATCTTTGATGTGTCACTTAAAATCACAGCTAACCACAGTTCAGAACAAGGTGACATTTTCTAGTGTTTTAATCTAAAGATAGTCCAAAAATGTTTCTCAGTTGACTCTGCTTTTGCACTTTCTTGTTGATAATCCATGGTTTTATCTAGTCAGATATCATTCGTGACAGTGAAACTAGGTCAAAATCAACTATGCTGGTTCTGTTACAGTTGAGAAGAATGATTTCTTGATAAACAGGAAACAAAATCTGCAGCTGATTCAAGAGGGAATGTATTTGGAAGGATTGGAAAATCATAAGTACACTCACTCTCTGTTAACCATATTCTGTTTATCAGCAGCAGTCGGCATGTAATTCCTTCCTGTCTGTTGTTCCCCGGAGCTTACTGCATTGCCTCATCTCCAGGCATACAGTACTTGACAGTAGTAGAAGCTTACATTAGTGGTTTGTTGAATGGTGAGGAGCAAACCTGTGAATTTACCTTCAGTTCTTTACGTGAAAACCAGAATGTAAACAGTGCTGTGTTTGGCAGCCTTGAAGGAATGTGGCAACCTCAAAATGGGTGGGTGTTACTGCAGGATAAAATTACCTTTAGGATCTAGAGTTCCCTTTTTATGTAGAATCCTGGATACTCCTTATTCCATATGTTATGATGACTACTATTTTCATAGCATTTCAATGGTTAATTATTTAGTATAGATCATTTAATTTGACTCTCATATTCACCCTGATAAACAGGTATTTTTCTCTTTACTTTTTAGATGAGGAAACAGAGGCTTTGAGATAGTTAAGTAGCTCTCCTAGGTTATTCAGCTTGTTATTGCTGAAACCAGGATTCACATTCAGAGTTTACAAGTTGAGCATCCCTAATATGAAAATTTGAAATCTCAAATGCTACAACATCTGAAACTTTTTGAGTACCAATATGATGCTCAAAGGAAATGTTCACTGGTGGATTTCAGATTTTAGATTTTCACATTAGGGACTCTCAACCGGTATGTATTCTGCGGATACTCCAAAATCCAAAAAATTCTAAAATCTAAAACACTTCTGGTCCCAAGCATTTGAAATAAGGGATATTCAACTTGTGGTATGCTCTTTTCACTGTACTTTACTGCTTCTGTTTATTTCTCTGCACTTTATTAAACTATATATTACCAGTCTAATTTTCCTACAAGTGCATATTTTTAACAGTTTTTTAAATGTATATTTTAAAAATAAAATTAATGTAACCAGTAGGGTGCAGCGGCTTATGCCTATGATCTCAGTGATGAGGGAGGATCGCTTGAGGCCAGGAGTTCAAGATTAGCATGGGCAACATATCAAGATTGCATCTCAATAAAAACAAAAAAAGTAGCTAGGCATGGTGGTGCATGCCTGTGGCCCCAGCTACCCAGGAGACTGCGACAGGAGTTCAAGGCTGCAGTGAACCGTAATTGTACCACTGCACTTACTCTGGGTGACAGAGTGAGACTCTGAGTCTAAAAATAAATACATGCATACATACATAACCATCATTCAGAAAATTGATGAAAAGAGAGGTATTTGCATAATCCTGTCACCCTATTGTGATGAATATCCTTCTAGTGTTTTTCCTAATAATGTTTTATATATAATGAATGTGTATATAATTTGATAACTCATTTATCTCACTTATTTCCGTTCTAATATATAATCTAACAATGTTTCTGAATTTTATAATACAGTATTTTTTCACTATTTTATTTTAAAATTAAAGTTACTAAAAACGTTTTTAAAGGACAGATGAAATCATATGTATTTATCGTATATGATATGATGTTTTGAAGTATATATACATTATGGATTAACAAAATCTAGCAAATTAACAAATTCGTCACCTCACAAAGTTGCCATTTTTTTGGTGAGAACACTTATCATCTATTCTCTTAGCATTTAAAAATACCATACATTGTTGTTAACTATAGTCACCATGTTGTATTGTAGATCTCTGCAATTTATTCCTCCTGTCTAACTGAAATTTTGTCTTTTGACCAACATCTCCACAGCTTCCCACTCCTCAGCTGTCGCAGTCGCTAGTAGCTACTGTTCTACTTCTAGTTCTATGAGGTCAACTTTTTTGGATTCCAAGTATGAGTAAGATCAGGCAATGCTTGCATTCCGTGTCTGGCTTATTTGACTTAACCTGATGTCCTCCAGGTTTATCCATGTTGTTATAAATTGCAGGAGTTTCTTCTTCGTTATAGCCAAATAGTATTCCATTGTGTATATAAACCATGTTTACTGTATTCATCCATTGATGGATATTTAGAGTGATTCCATATCGTGGCTATGGTATATAATGTTGCAATAAACATGGGAGTGCAGGTAGCTTTTTGACCTACTGATTTCATTTCCTTCGGATCTATAGCTAGCAGCGGGATTACTGAATCATATGGTAGTTCTATTTTTAATTTTTTTTTGAAACTTCCATACTGTTTTCCCTAGTGGCTGTCTTAATTTACATTCCCACCAACAGTGTGCAAGGGTTTCCTTTTCCCACATCCTCAAAACCATTTGTTATCTATTGTCTCTTTGATAATGGCCAGATCTAACAAGTGTGAGGTAATATCTCATTGTTTTAATTTGCATTTTCCTGATGATTAGTGATGTTGTTGAGCATCATTTCATGTACTTGGCCATTGGTATGTCTTTTTTAAAATAATGTACATTCAGGACCTTTGCCTATTTTTAAATCAGATTATTTGTTTTCTTGTAATAGAGTTCTTTATATATTTTTGTTTTGTTTTGTTTTTGAGACAAAGTCTTGCTCTGTTGTCTAGGCTGGAGTGCAGGGGCATGACTGGCTCACAGCAGCCTTGACTTTGTGGGCTCAATTGATCCTCCCACCCCAGCCTCTAGTAGCTGGGACTACAGGCATGTACCACCACACCCAAAAAAAAAAAATAATAATTTTTGTATTTTTTGTAGAGATGAAGTTTTGCCATGTTACCCAGGCTGGTCTGATACTCCTGGACTGAAGTGATTCACCCGCCTTTGTCTCCCAAAGGGTTGGGATTACGGTTGTGAGCCACTGTGCCCAGCCTGTTTATATATTTTGGGTATTAATTCCTTATCAGTTGTATAGTTTGCAAATATTTTCTCCCATTCTGTAGGTTGTCTCTTCCCTATGATGATTGTTTCCTCAAGTTGAAGCTTTTTAGTTTGATCTAATCCCATTTGTCTATTTTTGCTTTAGTTACCTTTGCTTTTGGGGTCATATCCAAAAAAATTATTGCCCGTGCCAAGATCGCGGAGCTTTTCTTATAAGTTTTCTTCTAATAATTTCATAATTTTGGGTCTTTTATTTAAGCCTTTAATCCATTTT